AGAAAACGAAAAAAAAAGGAAGATGATGCGAGATAAAGGAATTGAAAAAAATCAAGTCAAGAAAATCGAAGAAAAGCGAAGCAAAAAAAAAAGGAACTGGAAAAAGGTAAAGAAAGGGAACGAAGAAAAAAAGAAGACGATGAAGTCAAGGGAATCGAAAAAAAGAAAGAGAATCGAAGAGAGAAAGGGAATTGAAAAAAAAAAGCCGGAAAAAAAGGGAATCAAAGAAGAGGATCAAAGAAAATAAAATTGTAAGAAATCAGAGGGGAAAGTAAAACTAAAGTCGAATAAAAAAAATAACAAAAAAAAAAAGAGATAATACCGGCATTAGAGTTAGGTTAGGGTTAGCATTAAGACTTAGATATCAATGTTTTTAGCATTTTTAGTATTGTATAACTTTATTGCAAATAAATTACGTGATATAAAGCGATTTTTTGTGGTATACAATAAATCTTAAGTTTATTTAGTGCTTACGATATGGTTACACAATTTTTGAAATCTAGTCTGCAATTTCCAGGCCGAATGGTACGTACGGCATGATCGATACGTAACATGATCTGCAATTTCCGGCCCGAAACATCACGTGATATTCAGTATCAGCCAAATTCAGCTTCAGTCATCACATTTATTATTTCAAAAAAACAAAATTTATATTATTAATAATTTTAAAAGTATTGTTAAAATATAAAGTTAGTTGGGTGTAAATATATCAGATTGAATTAATTCCAATGTGCTTTTAATATTAAATGCTTGCTCGTATAAGATAAATTGCAAGGTATTAGGTTTAGTGTACGTGATGCTACCTCACCGAGGGTATCTATGGCCCCATTATATTAAATACCACGGCCAATAGAATTCTTAATACTATATAAACCAGAATAGCTGATTTTATATATTTAAATTAATATGAAAGTTTAAAAATTTAATTTTATTCCCATTTTAATAAAAAAAATTTTTTTAAAATAGTAATATTTGAAATATATATTATTAATTCATTTTTGTTTCAGATAATTAATTAAAAAATGAATTAATGTTAGGTTTCGTATTAGTTAATTGATACCAACAAAATTCAAAACATTTTTTGATTAAAATTAATTGAAATTTCTTTAAAAAATAATACACGATGTCATAGGATTTACAAAAATATGCTTGAAATGAATTTTGATAAATACAAATTTATTAAGTTTAGTTTATTAATCATAATATGAATTGACTTTATCGAATTAGAACAAAAATTCTGATATAAACGAAACACTGGGTTTGATATACATCCAATAAATAAGTTTGCATGGGTAGCAATATAAATATAAAAACATCATATAATAAATAAATTGTGATTCATTAAAAAGATAAAAACAAAATAAATCTATATACGGAAAAGAAAAAAGATTATATTAAGTTTAAAATTTAATTTAAGTATTTCATATAAATAATCTGCTATATATTGGCCTTCACTAATATTATTGTTTAGAAATAAAATTAAAGTTCTCTATAAAATTCTTCTATAAATATAAAACAAATATTATGTAATATATAATTTTTAAAATACATTCTATAAGCTTACAATTTTACTAAAGCTTCGTAATAAAATTTTAATTTAACCCAATGTTGTTAAAAATTTTTATTTATCTCTTGGTCTTAATCTCAACTTTTGCTATACACACTTTTGCTACACCTGCTCTTGAACTTGTGAATGAACGTCAACGTAAATAATTTGTGTTAAAATTACAGTATAAACTTAAATGACCTACTTTTGTAAATTATTATTAATCTGAATTTTGATATTTTTTATTGAAGTGCCAAATTGCATTACTGCTGGCGTAGAATGCCCTCCTGATAGTAAAACAAATTGCTGTCATAGCCTTGTTTGCATTGAAGTTAACTTAAATGAAGGTGCCTTCAAATGCGTTGCTGTTTGACACCTATATTTCAACTCATCTGCATCAAAATCTAAATCACTTATAATTTCATCATTAATTGTGAAATTGGTGAAATTGGTGAAATTAATTTCACCAGTATCTATAGTTACGAGACTCAATATAGACTCAATTCTTCATATTAATGCGAATTTTTCTTTGACCACGACCTTGCAAATAATTATTAATTTATAATATATACAGTATTTCTTTCTTCTTCTCATATCCTTTCCTTTTAATACTCAACCAAATCCATGTTTGATACATAGTACTCTTATTAATAGAAATTTGTACCTTTAGTATATATAGAATTTTAATAAGCTTTATTTTAATGCAGAGTCAATTTTTTTATCATTTTATTTTTTTCATTATATGTAAAATATAAAATGCCTATTTAGTTGTTAAGGAATCATGGTTTTTTTTTATCTTTATGCATCTTTGGTTCAGATTCGGGACTGCATTTCTTGCGAAATTTCTCATACTTATACTTGATCTTGCGATTTTTGCATTGGTAACAAGGTAAATGATAATCGCAATGAATTTTTTTTTGCACGACAAGTGTTACATGCAACCATGACCCTATTAGAACTTCGGGTTCTCATTTTTGATTAGTTTATTTGTTGAAATGATATAAAGTGATCATTTTTTTAAAAAATTAACGTCAGGATTTTCTAACACTATCTGCTATTATTGTTATCTGTATTTGGCTTATAAGAAACAAAAATGTGTGTTATACATATATTGGCATATGACCAGGTTATCCCTTTTTCTTTGGGTGTAATTTTATTGATAATTCAGGCCCGAATTATGCAAATTAATTGTTGCAGCTGATGTTGAAATCGGCTGATACTAAAATTTGGACCTATTTGATATGAATTTTTAAAATTTTTTGGGGGGTGTTCTTGTCCGCTTTTTTATTAGGGTTGGGTTAGGGTTTAGGGTTAGCCAAATTTCAATGAGTCTTTGATGCAAAGTTTAGTATTAAAGATGCTGGTGAAATTAAGCCATTTCACCAGGTGAAATGGTGAAATAGTTTCACCAGAATTATACCAAAATAAAATTTTGATAAATTGGTGAATTGGTAAATTGGCATATAGGAGGACTTTGGTTATCGCATCATATTAGATCACGTAAATTTATTCGTAGCCCTGGTAAACATAATGTAGGTGAAATTAATTATTTATAAAATATAAATATCACGATGAAAAGTTATTTGGTTGATTATTTTTTTTCGATTCAAATTGTTTTATTTTTAAATAAAGAAAATATAATGAAATTGCAAGAAATTTACATATTTATCGGCTCCTTAAATATATTTGTATTTCTTGGATTTAGTGAATTAAAAAAATTCAGATAAATATATCTAAACTTTATGCTATATTTAATTCAAAAAGAATATTTATCTAACCCTATCAATTAATATATATTTACTAGAGTTACAAAATTCTATTAATTATCATATGACGCACCCCATCTATGAAGATCATCATGGGAGAGCATGATAAGGGTTCCTGTGATTTTATGTATGCGTAGTAAAAGTAGAGTCTATTGTAGTATGTGCATAATCATGTATTAAAAATGCATCATCAATTTGTAGTTTGTATTTGATAAAGGGAAGCTTGCTATAAATAAAATCGATTGCTTGTTAATAAATTAAGTGGTCTTGTGGTCATCATAGTCAACATAAGGTGTCGAGGTGGATAGGACCTATATGATACACCAGTCGTCAAGTGAATGGATTCTCTAAGTGGTTTGGACCCAAGACCCCATATCGATATACTGCAAAACTACTGTATACGATATGATTATTGTTATCTTAATATTTTTCTACCCGGGTCCAATTTTAAATTCTCACCCCTTTTTTATTTAGAACACAAAATTCGCAGAACAAATTTCAGAAGCACGTATTAATATTTTAACTTTCAAAAATTTATTAGAAGAGATTACTGCATATAAAAAAAGGAAAGTGCTTTTGTTGTTTGCACCTATAGCATTTCACAATATCCTACGATGCGTGGGAACTGTTCCACTTATGTGGACCTTTCTTGGTCAATGTTTGGAAGAGAATGTCATGTTTTGCTAGGCAATCTCATTCCAGTATATTGGACTTAATGGATATCCTACAATGCATTGGAATTGTTCCATCGACGTGGACCTCCTTCGATCGATGTTTGGAAAGAAATAATCATGCTCCTGCTAGGAAATGCTTAGCACATGAGGTTGATAATTTCTTTTCAGAAATCCATTATGTCATTGCCATATGTGATTCTAACAATAAAATTTTTTAATTCCCAAAATTAACAATATTGGTTTTTTTTTTTTTTTTTTTTTAGCATGAACATTTCAAGCGGGATTGCTGATTATTTGAGTAAAGTAAACTATGCAAACTGGAACATTATTGATTGTCTTAAATTTTTGGATAAAAATAATTGCTCTGGGATAGTATCTGAAAATAAAAAAGAAATTTTAATAGAGTTCAAGAAGCAATTACATCCAGCATCTGTTAATCAGTCATTAAACAAAAAAGCCCGTGATAAAGTAACAAAACTTTACAAAAATGCGGAGAGGAACTTTGAATTCAAAGAAATTGTAGCATTTTTTGTTCGGATGGACGAAAAGATAAATTATGCATATTAATATATATTATTAATTAATATAATAATGTCAACTAATTTTAGCAAATTTATAGGCCAATATAAATATATTTGATGCTAAAACAAATTTATATGGATCAGAAGTCACGGTGCAAATGATTAATAACAAGCTAAATGATTTTTAATATAAAACATCTTCTTTGAAAAGAAATAATAAGGAAGCAAATACTGTGTACTGTATTCATTATCTTTAAGTTAGCTAACATATTTAGTTTTAAAATATATGAATATAATTTTCTCAATAGGCATGTTTATTTAATGATAGAATAAAAAAACAGCGTAATCAAAAAGATTCCACATTTGAACTTTTAACAATGGAAAGCCTAAATACAGATGAGAATTTGATTATCAGAAACTTTAAAGTTAGAGAATCGCTATTGAATTGGAAATTGAAAAATAATCTATTTCGTGATGAGTATGTTTTTTTTTTAAAATAATAATTTTTAAACTACACTAAGATTTATTTTACTAATAAGTTTTGCATATTATGACATATTAGATCTCACTCCAGACACAAATAGTGATTTTGTTAAAAGCTATTTGTTACCAGAAGTATATAAT